TTTTTTTTTTTTTTTTTTACATCACAACTCCCTCTATCATCATATTAAGTAATGATAATACATCGCCCCCCAGGGCACTTCTCCACTGGCAAAGGACGGACGCTGTCAAACCTGGCAGAGCAGAGGTCGTGAGTTCGAAACATGGGGCTCTTGGAAGGCAAGGATTTATTCTTGGAAGGCAAGGGAACATTTGGAAGGCAAGAATTTATTCTTGGAAGGCAAGTGGGAACTTGGAAGGCAAGAATCATTCTTGGAAGGCAAGGTGCAACTTGGATTGGCTTGCTTGGCACTTTGTCAGACCAGGTGGGGAGCGCTCGGACCCTGGCCAGTTGGAGGCACATCCTGCGATTAACCGGACTGTATGAAGAGGGGCCGGATCACAGACCCAAGGATTAGTCTAGAATAGGACACCTTGTAAAAAAAAAAAAAAAAAGAAATGATAATACATCATCCAATCTTTCGTCAATAATAAAAAAAATCTTAAAAAATAGTTAATTATTTTCAAGATGGATTTTTGGAACTTGTTTTTAATACTAATAGTATTTATAGCCATAGTGACTCCGTAAAATAAATAAAATAAAAATTGGACCAACCTCTAAATAAAGGGTCTCGTAACAATTCTAATCGACTTATATCAATTTAACGTATTAATCAGATATTTATTTTTGAAAATATCTTTCAACTTTCTAAGACAAACTCCAATGGCTTTTGACTATCTCCAGCAGGTTGGATCAAAGTGTTGGTTCCAAGAATATACCAATTCTTATAGTCATCACTTGTATCATACCCTAATTGACATGTATGCCCATTTCAATTATTCACTTTTATAATCCAAATATTACTTATTTAATATCTAATTATTGCTTTTTTAAAATCATTTGTCACAAAATAATAATATTTTAATATGTGTACAGCGGTACCAATTTGCCGCATCCAAAATGAATGTTATCTTGTGGGCAGCTCGTGGTCATCATCATGTTGTCCACGTCTATACACTTGAATTCCACGTCACCCTTTTGGATTGGATAATTAAAAATTTCCTAAATTAGAAATTAATTCTACAAAATATCAAAACTTCGAAAATTTCTATGCAAAAATCTAGAAAATTGAATTCAACACATTCATGCAATGGATATGAAAAAGAACTACGTTTTTTTTTTTTTTTAAAGATAGAATTATGATCGAAGTATATATTAAAGTAACATTGTAATTGTACCATCCATGTACTGGAGATATTTTGACTATTTACATCATGACGGGTTTGAATATGAAATCGAGAATGCCTTATCACGACACTTGTGTATATTTAAATGTCATGGATTTCGCTATGGTTTATTTTAATATTTTCTAACGATATTTGACCATGAAAAATGAAAAATCATTTTTTCATGTTGGAAAAGTTCATATACGGAGAGTACTCTGAAAAAATTTTATTATATAATTTCCTTTTTAGTCGTGTTAAATTATACAATTCAAAAATTATTAGAATTTTATTTATTTTTAATGCTTTCTGAATATCATATTAACTTATAAAACAAAATATACATTCTCTTTTTCATTATTATTATTTATGCTTTGCCAAAAGGTGAAACTTCAAAAATTGATCTGATTTTAATCATTGAAAACTTTGTAATTCGTTGCCTTGTAACATGATCTACATAAAAGTATGAGCAACTAGAAAATTAAATTGTATGTTAAAAATAGTGATGAAACTTGATAAATACTGACATCACATAGATATCACAAATTATTTATATTATAGATAAAAATTAAATTTCTAATCGTCAAACTTTTTGAGTCAACATTGTTACGTGCTGAAACGAAATATGTTTTTTTTTTTTTTTTTTTCCTTTTTTTTAAAACCAAAAAAAACCCCCACCCCCCCCCCCCCCAAAAAAAAAAAAAAAAAAAAAAATTCCTACCAAAATTTTGATAGAAAACTTGACGGTTGATTTTAAAAATTAATTTCTATTTTTTGAGGTCAATGAGAATCCAGATAGAGTTTTCCCATAATAATTTTGTGAAAGAAATTATGTAAGTGTAGCTTCACTCTTTAGGAATAATATTGAAAGTTGTGTTGCTCTTCATCCAATCTCCCAATTTCAAAATAATAATAATTTCATTAGCCCCTGTTAACCTTTTAATATATTTTGATAAAAATTAATAAAATATTGAAACATATAATTAAAATTAATTATTAATCTTAAATTAAATCAAAATCAAAATCAAGACTGTATCTAAACATGGATTTAATCTACACGTGTGCGGAGCTCATGCAATGTAAGTGTGGAACTATTCAAATTTCCATTAATTTTTTTCCTTAAAGTTTTCAATTTTCATTCATAAAAGGGCGCATCTGAAACTAAATTCGCATAAAAGGAAATTCTCTCTCTCTCTCTCTCTCATATTCTCTCTCGATCAATCTCCATCTTCAGACACACAAATGTACTAATCATCATTAAAAAATAATGATGATTGATTAAACAAGCAAAATCTTCATTTTCTCTCTAGAAAACTAGTTTAATTTCGAATTTTGTGTGATCCTGTAAAATTATAATGGTGGCTATGGATGATACGGAGAGCTGCGGCAGCCGAGCCACGGAGCCGGCATCCCCAAAGAAGAGTAGCCAGCAGAGACAGCGGCTCGAAGTTTTTCGCGAAGTGCTCAGTCGGCTCCAGGATTTGAATCAGGAAGAAGCTAAACTGCCCGGCTTCGAAGACCAGCTATGGCAACACTTCAATCGTCTTCCTGAAAGGCAATCTTTTTATGTATTTGTGTTAATTTTGAGTTGGAATTATTGAATCTCGGGTTGCATGTTAAAATGTTTAACGGATCCAAGTCATTTCAACCTTAGATTTTACTCTTAACATGCACTTTGGCTTGATTGAGAGTGCAATTGTGTAATTTGACTGTTCATTTGAGCTCTGATCAAATTACTAAATCTTGTAATTTACTTCTCATTTGAGGTTTAGAGAATTACCATACCGAGTCTTTGGTTCCATGTGAATAGTTCAACATTTAAGCACGCCTAACACGGATTAATTTTTTTTTATTATTTATTATTTTTTTGTTTTAATAATACTTTTGAATTGAATGGTGGTGATATGAACAGATATGCGTTGGATGTGAATGTGGAAAGAGCTGAAGATGTACTCACGCATAAAAGATTGCTGCATCTGGCGGAGGATCCTGCTAATAGACCTGCCTTCGAAGTTCGCCTTGTTCAGGTATACAGAAATTTTCCAAAAAATTGAAGATTTAATTTCTTGTTTATGATGCAATTTCCCTCTAAATTAAAAAGGATTGCACCAGTTCTGCCTTCCAGATTATCATTAAATAAGATATGGTTTTTAGGTTGGATATTGTTGTCATTTGAATATTTGCACCAAGCTATGGTTTGGTATGGAGAAATTGTACCTATAATAATTACCATATACAGGTTCCTCCTGCGTCTGATGGAAATTCAGCAGATGCTGATCATATGGATTCTTCAGCAAACGAAGAAGGTCAAAGTTACTCTAGTCGTTCTCCTAGCCGGCAGGGGTAGTTCCTGATTTATGTGCTACTCGTTGTCTTACTGGCAATTTTTCTTCTTTCTTCTTTTCTCCAACTTGTATTTCTCCCAATTTATTTTAATTTCGGCTGCCATCTTTTGCATTCTTTTTTCCATCCAGAATCCATCCTCCACCTACTTTTGGTTCGGCAGCAAATCTTGAAGCCCTTGCCTGTCAAGCTAATGGAAGTCATGACAATAATTCAAACGGTGATGTCAATTCAACTTCACGAACTCCTCGGTAAAAAGTTGAAATGGTTCACTTCGCTCATTAGCTTTTGAATACTGTAAAAATTTCTTGATGCAAGGACTGAAAGATGGTAAACACAAACTATGTGCTACTCGTTGTCTTACTGGCAATTTTTCTTCTTTCTTCTTTTCTCCAACTTGTATTTCTCCCAATTTATTTTAATTTCGGTTGCCATCTTTTGCATTCTTTTTTCCATCCAGAATCCATCCTCCACCTACTTTTGGTTCGGCAGCAAATCTTGAAGCCCTTGCCTGTCAAGCTAATGGAAGTCATGACAATAATTCAAATGGTGATGTCAATTCAACTTCACGAACTCCTCGGTAAAAAGTTGAAATGGTTCACTTCGCTCATTAGCTTTTGAATACTGTAAAAATTTCTTGATGCAAGGACTGAAAGATGGTAAACACAAACTTATCTAACAGTTCGTTTTGATGTCTCCTTTAAAATCTGATTGTAGAACTGGAAAATGATACTCTCAAATCATGACAAGTGATTGAGAAAATGGGGACACTGTCTTCCGTTCTAAAATCTTCCTTATCCATCTTACTCCTCCCCCTCGTCCATTTGGAAAAGAAAACGAAAGAAAAAGAAACAAAGAATCATATTGCAGTTATCATACTGGATGATATCTGAATTTAAGGATAAAGGGGTGTAGTAGAGGAGATGTCCTTGACCATTGAGTCCTTTTTAAATCTCCAAATCTTAAAACCAGGTGTAAACAAGACAAAATAGTTAGAGAAATAAGTCAGATAAAATATACATATTACTGTAGTGCAGAGTCATGGCTGGATAAACTATTGAAGCCTTATGTGATAGAAATAAAACACTATTTTTTTACTCCTTGCTATCATTTGATTTCTCTTTTATCCTCGCTGGCACATCATCTGTTGTTTAATCATCAACATTTTCATCATCAACATATACCATGCTAATGTATTTCACTTCTGTATTTTCCCGTGTTCCTTCTCTAAACTTCAACCAAATAATAATTTATAATTTACATTATGGAGTATTTTTAAGTGTGCGTAAGCATTTGTTAGTTTAGTCAAGATATTGTCTAGTATTTTCCACTTCTTTCTCGTTTTCGTTTGATATTTTCATCCTTTTCACGTTTCTGGTGAATCATTATAATGAGCATGTGGGTGAATCATTATAATGAGATAAACAGTACTAACATTGGGGTGAAAGCAGTAGAAATTTATCTATGAATTAATTCTTGTAAATGAATTTTTTTATTTCATGAAATTATTTGCTTTCCTGCTGAATTCAAGACTCGTGTATATGTGATATATCTATTACATGTATGAAATGATGGGCATTCAAATAATTAACTATCTTGTTGTTAGGTGTGATATTGCTGTACTCTTATTTCTGTTAAAAATTAACTATCTTATGTCTTAAAAATGGATATCTTGCAGGCCCATGCACGAAATCACTTTTTCCACAATCGACAGGCCCAAATTGCTGAGTCAGGTTTCAACTTCATTTATTTATTTTTTCCTTTTTTCGGGTTCATCATCATCCTTTTTTCCTGGCATATGTTACATCATAGGATTAGTATTTGACAGATTACTCCTCATTCCTTCCTCCCCCTGGGAAGATAGAGAATAAATAAACAAAAATGAAAAAGGCTCCCTTCTAAGCACTGGAAATTATCTGGTCCATTTGAACATGAATAGGACGGCTTAACATTTGAGGTCAACCAGGCTCCCTTCCGAGTAATAACTTTTCATTTTATTTGCCCATAAACAAAAATGTTAGAATTCAAACAAAATACTACAACACTTGGAGAAAATTTTGAAATTAAAACTGAAATAAGTCAATGCAAATTATTGCTCCAAAACCTCTGGCTGTCCTGGAAAGTCAAACCATCTCATTCATATGGAACGGAGGGAGTATGGTAAAACTAAATTTTAGTTTGATGCCTAATATGACCTAAAATTTATATGCAACGATTGAGTTTAGGTATTTAGTGGGGGCAGTACCTGGAAACTATTAATAAGAAATGTTTTAAAAAGTTTATCGTATTATTGTTAGTATCCACATTGCTGATTTTCTACTCAAAAAATCAACCTTTTTTCAACTCTCATGATAGATGGGATAATGCAGATAAAATAGACCTGAAGAGATGTCAGCAGAACACTGGCCTAATGCTAGTACTGATTAACTTTCAATATTAATTTATAATAATTTGTATCATTGCCGCTGCTTACGAATGGACACTGAAACAAACTTTATCGAATTGTTTAACTGTGATGCTCATGCTTTGAACTTGTTGATAATTTTCTTAAGGTCAAATGCAATAATTTTTTGGGAGAACTCTAAACATGAATTTCATAAATTATCAATTGCTGATCCTTAACATTACAATCATATTTCTTCTGTGACCTATATTCGACTCCTGATCTGCAGTTGACTCTCTTACTTTCTGAGATTGGTCTGAACATTGAAGAAGCCCATGCATTTTCAACTACCGATGGATTCTCATTAGATGTCTTTGTTGTTGGTGGGTGGCCATATGAGGTATACTCATCCCTTTTCTATATAAATTGAACTGCTTTAAACTTGGGGGATCCTTAATGCAGAGTTCAGTGCATTTCTACTTCCTGACTTATTTATTCTCCTGTTGTAAACAGATTTTGAACTCCATTTATGTGTTTAGATGTATTAACCTACTGCCTTATTTATTATGTATGTCACATTAAGTGCTTGTTTAAGAAAACTTATTGACATTATAATTAAAAGGTCAAACTCAAACTTTAACCACATTTTTTAGGATCCACAACTACTACCCACTTATTCACTACTCATTTCATTTCTATCACATTATAATTTAAGCAACTTATAAACAATCCAAGCAAGCATTAAATTTGTTTTTCTGTCTTATAGGATGATCAAAGCACTTTAAATCCGTTTATTCATCTTTAAGTTTTCTCCTTATTCTTTGGGATCAAGGTAGTTGTTCTGGATGTATAAGCACCAGCTTTTACTATCTCATTCTGAAGAACATTTCAGTATGAGAATCAGCATTAAAGTATCCATCCTTCTTTTTTTCAAATTTCCAGTTTAACATTTTTGAAGTTGGTGATCTGATTTGTTTTAGTTTGTGTTGCCATGTGATAAGTTCAAAGACAAGAAATTTTGTGATTACTTGCTTGAGAAGTGGTTCTGGTAGCCATATATCATGAAGTTTAGACTTTCAGCGTTCTTCATTTTGTTATTTATTTATTTATTTATTTATTAATATATAGTTTCACGTTGCTGTGAAATACTTGAAGTAGTTAATTTTATGGTATTCTGATTTTGCTGAATGTTTGAATCCTCTCTTCCACTTCTTCTCTTCTTCTTAGATAGATAAATAGATAAATAAACAGGAAATGCTATGAATTTTGTTAAACCCCAATCAGTGCCAAAGAAAATATCCAGAAACTTGACATGGAAGTCAATTTTCGTACCTAAGTTTGCTTATTTTTTAAGCTTTCTGATGTACAATGGGGAAGAGGAAGAGAGAGATGGAAGAAGAATTGAAATTGGGAGCAAAATGAAGGGAAGAATTTCTATATTGAATATCACTAATTCAATTTTCTAAATTATTCAAAATTGTTCGTACTATCTATACTTCAAATCCCTGACAAAATGACAAAATAGAAGATTTCTAACTCGAAGTTAAAAGTTAATTTAGAATATAAAAAGATACGTCAGAATCCATTTCCTCTTATTATGCCTAAAATAAGTGTGTTTAAACTGAATACATGCTTCTTGGAAACTTGTAGGAAACCGAGCTGCTTAGAAGTGAGGTGCAAAAGGAGATCTTAAAGGACAAGGTATATCCTATAACAGAAAAATTTCCACATGATCTCATTTTTTAGGTTCAACTGGCTACATGCTGTACTTATGCTTCGTGTCATGTAATTTCACGTAATGGAGAGATCTAAACAAAACCTATAATTCTACTATGCTGATGGTCCCAGAAATGAGAGTTTTGGTTGTGTATCAGTATTTATCCTTTCCTAAAGTAATAAAAAGGCAATTGTTAGGAGGGCAGTCTCCATAAACTTATAAAGAATACAAAACTAGCATCTTCATATAGAATTACTTTGATTTTGTTTGCTCAGAGCATTACTTCGTTGAATTTGGTGTATACATGTATAACATCCATCTGGAGTAATGAAGTTTGCAACAAATCGTAGAAGGACCAACTTCCTGGGCTGTTTTTCCTGTGGAGAAAGGAGAGAATGTTTAGTTTCATTAACATAAATTGATTATCCAGCTTTGTTAAAAATTACAGATCCTCTACGCTATTCAAAACACAGTTTAGATCCACTAAACGAGTTTTATATCTCTGACTACAATTTGCTGACTCATTTTTTCCCCATTCTTAAACGTCTTGTTTCTATTCCTTTGGAGTTTGAGTTGGATTCAGTTCTGTTGAATTATCTAGTTACCTGGTTTGGAGTATATGTTTATAGAATACTGCTGATTCTGATGGGAGAAGATCTTTGATTGTTTATACGTTTTTCATTGATTCACGGTGTAAGTATACAATAATGCTGTATGTTCTACCAATGTATAACAATGAAGTAACAAGTGACCTGTTTTGGAATTCCAATCTGTTCTTAGATTGCTGAAAATTCATTTGGTTTTATCTAGGAATACCTAGAAATTTGAATGCATTTTGATGGTATAGTTGTTTGCTTTTACTGGTTATACATTGTTTATGGATTGTTTAATTGAATACTCACTGCATGTCAACGTAAAAGCTTAAGTTATTTCTTCTGATTTTGGAAATTATATACTTTTTCTTTCTTGACACTACCTAAGCTTGGATCAATCTCCTATTAATACGGTCGCTGTTAGTTTATCTTGTTGGAGAAGGATAGTTAATTGCTGGACAGTGTCTAGTTCCATTTCTGTCAACACAGTTTCGGTTTTTTGGATCGCTGTACAATCCAGTTCCTTAAAAATGGGATACATAATCTTTCACCCATCTGTTTTACAATAGTTGATGCTTTTAACTCACCAGTTCATATGTTATAGGAGCAACCTTTTCCAGATCAACATTCTCTTTCAGCCATTAATCAGAATGTCCCAGAAGTTCCTGAATTCATCGCTGAACATGTTAAAATACCTACTGATGGAACTGACGTCTGGGAAATTGACTCCCACTTGCTGAAATTTGAAGGCAAAGTTGCATCTGGTTCATTTGGTGATCTGTAAGTTCCACAAATATGTCTCTATTGCTTTCTTTATTCTATTTTTCTGGTTCTGTTTGCACTCTTACAGATTTTGCAACTCCTTTTCAGTTATAAAGGAACATACTGTAGTCAGGAAGTAGCTATAAAAATTCTCATGCCCGAGCGAGTTAATGTCGATATGTTGAAAGAGTTCTCCCAGGAAGTTTTCATTATGAGGTAAATTAACTTCTCTTCACAAACTTGGTTTTGGTCTTTCCAGGAGTGGAGTTTGCCTATTGTCGCTTCTAATTTATGAATGAGTAGAGCATCAACTCCACCTGAAATTCTTTGGATTTTACTCTTTAGATAGAAACCTTATCCCTATCAAAATAAATCTTATTTTGGTCGAGGACTTGCATCTTCGAGCCAAGATCAAACTATTGATTTCATGGATGAAGTTTTACAATTAGGGATAAGATCTCCTGTATATTATTAATTCGTGATATTCTTTTTATTTCTTAGGATATTTAGACTTCATTTGGATCCAGAATTGTAGTTATGAAAACAGTGAGAAAAACTTCAATGATAAATTAAGGGAGCCATTTTACAATTTCCGCATTTATTTCCTTTCAATCGATATATATATATAAAAATTGAGAAAGCAAGGAAAAATAGTTATTACTGTTTTTCCCTTCATTATTCGTGGAGTTCAGGAGCGATCCTTCAAATTTATTTCCTGTTTGGCATGCATCCAAGTCATGTTGGTGTATGTCATGAACTTGCAAAATACACATTTCTGTGACACTATTTGAGCGCTAAGCTAACTTCTTGCGTACAAGATAAGCATGTCAGTTTCCCCCTAAAATGTGAATTAAAAACTGTAATTGAGCGTGGAATTATTCTATTAATGTAATTGACTATAGCAATATCTTTACATTTGTCTTTGTGACTATTAATACATCTGAGCTCTTATATTCCATTCGTGCACCTTGACGTTTCTTTCATTTGTCTTTACTCTTATTTTCACTTTTTTTTTTTTTTTTTTTTTTTTTGGTAGAAAAGTTCGGCACAAGAATGTTGTTCAATTTATCGGTGCATGCACAAGACCCCCAAACCTGTGCATTGTGACTGGTAACTCTATTAAAGTTTCACCATGTTTTAACCATCTATCATACAGTAATTTTGGTTCCTTTCCAAATATCACTATATTGTTCCCATATCAGCTATGTATTAGTTCAAATATATTATCCTCTAATTCTGTGAAGTTTTATTTTCCTATTCCATGTCAAAGAAGGGCTTCATCTGATGGTCATGTTTCTGTTTTATTCAGAGTTCATGTCTAGAGGAAGTGTGTACAACTTTCTGCACAAACGAAAAGGTTTCTTTAAGCTTCCTACTCTGTTGAAAGTGGCAATTGATATTTCAAAGGGAATGAGTTATCTTCACCAAAATAACATAATCCATCGGGATCTAAAGACTGCCAATCTTCTGATGGATGAACACGAAGTAAGATGTTTCTGTAAGCTGTAAATGATTAATTGGTTTAATAACATTCATATGCATAGAAATTTCAACTATCTTTACATATTTTCATTTTTCCGTTGAACTCTTAAGAAAGTGTGGTTTTCTGTAGTAGTTATTATACTAATGAATACAACAAACTAAAGCTTATTCCCCATGGTTAATATACTAGTGAAAAACTGCTAGTATTATTTGCTGCTAGTTGCAACGTTAACTTTTGTTTTGCCTATCCACTATTCTACTTTTATCATTTTCGCATCTTAAAGCTCAGTCTATTTCATTCTTCTGTAAACGATTTATAAAGGAATGTGAATGTTGTTCAGAATACATACGATAGACATACTGCTTGTTTGGATGAGGATGATGGAGTTTGAGTATGTACGTCACTTAATAGATTTGGTTTTTCATCTCTATTTTGTTGTTCCCCTAAACGTTGTGGCCGTTAACTTGTTACTGGCTGTGATTTTTATTTTTATTTATTTATTTTTTTTTGGGGGTTTTTTGTTGGGTGGGGGGTGGGGGGTGGGGATCTATTGGATTTTCATTTTCCCTTCATCTTTCATTTTGTTCTCATGGATAGGTCGTTAAGGTTGCTGATTTTGGAGTGGCCAGGGTGCAAGCTGAAACCGGAGTGATGACTGCAGAAACTGGTACATATCGTTGGATGGCTCCTGAGGTATGCAAATTTGATGGTATTAGTTAGATATTTGACTGTTGTATTTTAAGTGTCCAATTTACAATTAGTTTTTTCTCATATTTGCATAACATCACATTGGGGTGATAATTAAATTTATAGTTAAAATATATTGAAACTATTGAATTTCCGCCTGATTAATTAAATGCCTCAGTACTACTGCAGGAGTCTGCATAACACCTCATTATATCAAGAGTACCTGTTGGTTCATGTATGGAATTTTTTTGGTTTTCACTGTTCTGATGATTATCTGCTATTATGATTAAAACTTTCAACAGCGGTAGCATGAATGTAACCAATTCTTTAATATTTTCACTATATTGTATTTAGAAGATGGATTACTGATATCTGTTTATATGTCATTTAGAGTATTAACTGCTACACATGCCCTACAGTGTGTCAAACCCGGTAGCATGAATGTAACCAATTCTTTAATCTTTTTACTGTATAATGGATTAGGAAGATGGGATCCTGTTTAGATGTCATTTGTACTAACTGCTGCACATGCCCTATAGCATGCCAAACCCCGTAGCTAGGCACAAGTGGGTTTTTTTTTTCCTTTAGAAAAAAATTGGGCATACCTATCTAATAATTTGGGGGGGAGTAGAAGAATATAATGAGAATAATGTATCCACTCAAATGTTGTTATGTTCTATTATTAGATAAATTTTTTATAAGCTTGGACATATGCTAAAATACTATTGTGTTCATAATTACACGTTGAGCAAAAGTTTATAGGGCCGAACTTGTGCCTAATTTTGAATGGGTCACGAAACTTCGTTTTTTTACAATTAGGTCACTAAATCAAGTCACTATTCCGTGTCCTTTCGCTTTGCAAACTGTAACCCCAGTGTGGCAGTTGATTATTTATTTCTACATCTGATTTATTCCTGCCACATTATCCATGTCATCTTTCTGTGTTGGCAGGTTGACGAAGTTGGATGCATGCATTGACTCAATTGATACTAAGCCTATGTTTGGTCCCTATTTTTTCAAAACTCATTTTCAACCATATATTCTCCTGTAAAATAATTTCATACAAACACAAAATTTTTTCTCACTTTTTAACTACACATTTCCCAATAAAACACTATTCTAAAATGCATTTTGGCCAAAAAATGGAGCTCAAACGAGGGCTAATTAGCAAATTGGTCGATAAGAAAGAAAGACGTGTGATTTGAGTATAGAAAAGGCTAACTCAATGCCCGTGAAATCTAACTATATCTGGCATTTCTAGGCTTGATTCTCTTACATTATGCTCATTCTCTTATCTAAGGTTCTGATCCCTAGAACTGATATTTTTCAAAGGTAATTGAACATAAACCATATGACCACAAGGCTGATGTTTTCAGCTTCGCGATAGTGCTATGGGAACTTCTAACAGGACAAGTAAGCCTAACTACATTTTTTTTTTTTTTATCAAAATTTTTACTTCTGTTCTGTCATCCATTGTTTCGTATCTGAACTCCTTTATTCTCGTATTATACGACTGGTGCAGATTCCATATGCCTTTCTAACACCTTTACAAGCAGCAGTTGGAGTGGTTCAACATGTATTCCTATCTCTCTCTTCATATTGACTATTATATCATGTTTGGCATGGATGTTTGGATAGCATTCAACAGTATTGCAAAACAGAAAGAGATACTGTTTAGGCCCGTCCAAATACTGAGTGCCAAATGTGAACTTGAAGTTCCACAAAATTTATGGTCACTTGATAGTTATAGTCACTTAAATTGATGTGGAAATCAGGGACTGAGGCCGACCATTCCAAAGAACACTCACCCGAAGCTTGCAGAACTGCTCGAGAAATGCTGGCAACAAGATCCAACTCTACGACCCGATTTTGACACGATTTTAGAAATTTTGCATCAAATTGCAAAGGAGGTACATTAATCAACTGAGGAAAAAAAATGAAAAATTACTAGTATTATAGTTTAAATAGTGCTTAACTCGGAATGTTTTTGAAATAGGTTGGAGATGATGGAGAAGATAAGAACAAGGATAAATCAATTGGTGGTTTTTTCTCCTCTCTTAGAAGGGGACATCACTGAATTTCGACGATAAAAGAAATTACGATGGACATAACTTTTTTACATCGTTATCGAATTTCGAATATTGATAAAAGGAATAGTATGTGGCCGCAGGATTTCATGTGTACAGCATATTGTGTTTTTTATCAATCTGAATGTTACTTGGCTTTTCCAGTGAAAATTTCTCATCTTTGTTTGAAGTTATTCTCTTCTACTTTCCAAGCAGCTGGGGACAATTTGGCCGTGGTATTGATTATCAGATTTCTTAGCCTAACTGTCGATTCTCGTGTCACCGTGTTTGGTATGTTAGAATGGATTTTAAGCTTAGCCGAACATGCTATAAGACCTTGAAGGTTCGGTAGGTGATCGTACCAATATCCTCGAACCTTTACTTCATGGCCGTTGAATGTTCAATCCACAGCCAGCAAGAATCTTATGGCTTAGAGTTTTAGCTCCCTCTTTGATTGGTTCGAATTCCACTTTTTTCCAATTTTGTTTGTTTGATATGTTTTATTTTCCAAGGAATTTTCTTGCTTGTATTAGGAATTGGTATTTTCTTGGTTTTTCGGTTACTGTAGCATTTTTTTGGGCAAAGTTAACAAATTCTAAGAATTATTGTAAAAAAATATTTCCCTTTAATTGATAATTTTTATGTAAAACAAAGTCAAACGAACACCAAAAGATAGATGATTTTCTTGAATATATATATATATATATATATATTTTAGCAATGGAAACAAATTTCATCCCTAATAACAGTAAATTTTAACCCTTTAATTGACAATTTTCATGTAAAACAAAGTCAAACGAACATCAAAAAATACTTTTTATTTCAACATTTTTCACATGGAAAATTATACCAATCAAACACAATAATTTACAATTCTCAGAAAAACAATTTCTAAGCAATTCAATTCCTTAAATTTGTTTTCAATTCAATTTAATTTCATCTTTACAATCAAACGAACCCTTCGTTCAATGAGAATTCTCCCAATTACTCTATTAGACGGTTTTTGAATGTTTGCACGTAGATAAAAGTTGAACAGTTGGGAGATGAAACTTATATTGAGAATTGCTGTAAGACAATCTTATAATACAATGTTTGTATGTTATGAACTGTTCGAACAAAAATCCTTCAACAATGAATCAATTCAGATATTTGGCTGTGTAGCGGTATAACCAACGGGTCATTCTACTTGTACACTTTTTTTCACAACTTTTTTCACATCACACACACATACAAGTGGGTGGGGTCCACGATTAAAATAATCGCGGACCCCACATTTGTGAGAGGAGTGTGAAAAATGATGTGAAAAAAAGTGATGTACAAATAGAATTTTCCATAACTAAATTGTGTTCTAAAGATGGACAAAAAATACAGTGAAAGCATGAAAAAATCATCGAAATTGTTTTTGGGCATACGAAGTACTTGGTTGTACTATTTCTTGATGCGTGAAGGTGATTTATAAACTAGGAAAATATAGATACACATCACGAATAATGGGAATGATCTACAAGATGTATTCATAGATACCTGTAGTTAACGCAACAAATACACAGAGGGTGCGTTTATCAATAGGGACAAAAAATAAGATGATATAAGGTGTGTTGCTATTATAACGGTGTTATACTTTATCAAGTATTTGACATCCATTTTGTTGGAAAAATGAATTTTAGAATAGTAAATTGATGGAGAATGTGTAGATGAAAAACAAAGAAAAGCTTTTGATTTACGTGTAATATTATTTTAATGGAGAATGTATGGTTAAAAAGAAGAAAGAGAAAATGCATTTTGATAAGAACGGAAATCAAACGGGTATGTTATGAGAGCATAATATATCTTATCATATTTTGGATATTATTTAATCCAACACGGAATAAAATTTGTCCACTTTACGTTCTAATAAAGCTTGACAAAAGCATAAAACGTGCTTTATAAAGAAAGTTGTTTGTAATTCTATAAAAATAAGATGAAGAAATTTGAAGTTACCATCAAAACGATGATGCCAACTAGAAGTTCACATCAAGCAAACTTAAATATTTTAGATTAAGTGCTAAAAAACTCCATGAATTTACATTTCAAGTAATTCGAATTATACCATTTATTCGTGTTATTTCCAATTATATATGTTGATTATTCTTGGAATAACCATTAAAACGAGGAAAATACATGCTATATAGAAAGTTTGAGTTAAGAATTTTTGTTTTTTACAAGAATAATGCTATTTTCAATCGCTCATTACGACAATTGTCCTACATCGTATACATTTGACAGATGATTATTTGATGTATAAGTCAATAAAAAACTACCACATTAATACATTAAATAACTACCTACCATATGTATATCACATAGGACGAGTATCACAGTGAGCTACTACGAATAGTATTGAGTGAACCAGGCCAATATCACTGTCACTGTTTCCATATATACATTCCCAGAAACCCTAATTTCTCTGTCATTCATTTCAGAGACTACAAATACACCTAGAGAGACATGAACTGCCATTGTTTTTGAGTATCAAGAAGAGGGTCTCTCTCTTTCTATCTCTACGGTGTGTATATATGTGTGTGAGAGAGAGAGAGAGAGAGAGAGAGAGAGGTTTTGGGTTGGGAATGTCTGCAGCATATTCAAGGATTTGATGAGGAGAGAATGTAAAGAGCATTTATAACTGTGAATGCCAATGCAGTAAGGCTGACCATCCATTTAACTCTCTCAATTCCCATTCCATTTTTATTAGTTTTTGGATCAACCCCCCTCTCATCTACATCTTATGCTGGTTAGAAATGTATATTACTATGCACTTGGCGGAGCTATCAAATAATATTTGACACCCTTGATTCGACACTATTGAACAAGATTAAAGAAGAAAATTTTTATTTATTGTATGTTCAACCATCTCCAATGTTGCGTGAGCGTAAACAAAATAAAGAATTAAAATTCATAATCACGGACCCTTTGAGATAAGTGCTAGATAGATTAATGTTCGCTTGAAATTCGTAAGGTCCTACTTGGGAGTTTTGGCGTATAAGTTACAACTGTCTTTTAAAGTACCAATTTTGAAAGTTTATAAGTGGATCGATTTTGAGTGGTTTTAGTAGTGATTTTTAAAACCATCCAACTCATATAAGTTAATATTTAACTTACGTTAAATAATTAAAAGTTATTTTTATACTTTTGAATCATTTTAAGTGAATTTTTTACTTATAATTAATTTTTAAATTTTAATGTAATTTTTCTTATCTTATAAGTGTTTTTTATTATAATATAATTTTTTTGCTTCTAAATATTTTAGTTAATATATTTTTATTTATAAGTTAGTTTTTAAGAAAATATGTTGACTGAAAATAATTATTTTATTAAAGGTAATATTAGAAGAGAATGTAAGAAACGGTCACAACTCACCGATTTGGTGAGTTGAGAAAATCAGTCAAAATTACACTATACCGATTTTGGATGGTTTTTAAACCATCCAAAATCGATACCCAAAAAAATTAATAAGCACCGATTTTTCCAAGCCCTTAGGCCCTTACTAACGGTGCCACCCAAAATCTGTCAAAACTGGTGAAGGAAAAAATAAAATAAAATAAAATCCACCCTAGCAGGTCGTAAGTGTACGATATCGTGGATGAGTTATAAAGTGATTAGTAAAGTGACGTTCCTATGAGGCTATGTCACTAAGTAGTAAAATTGATAAATCTAATTTTATTTGAACTGTTGATTCAAACGTGAATTTGAACTACTACTACTAAAAAGCAATAAAAACAAGCATTGGTTGGACTAGTGAAACTGGACACAGATCACCACTGTTTTTCACTTCTGAACTTTGCCTTGGCAAAACTGCCCCCGAACAATCTGGCTGCACAAATGGAAACTAGTATTACTTTCGTAAATAACTCCGAATTAAGATAAGTTATACGATAAATCGTGTCTTGTGCCTTGTGGAGATATTTGTGTCAATATAGACAATTTAGTTTCTTCAAGCTTATCGGTAGTTACTTCATGTTACTTCTTTCTTCGCATTTTTTGTCCGAGTGCACCCCAATCATGTTTTCACCTTCTCCTTTCATACATGTCACTATCTCAACTCTGACTTCAAAATATCAACTTCTTCTCAATTCTTTTCAATTTTATCTATGTAGCTCATGTTGAAAGATAATCTTAAAACGCAAAAATGAACCAAAATTGATAAGTAACAACATCAAACATTCAATATACTAACATAAAACCTTCATTTGGGAGTGAGATAAAGTGTGTGAATAACACTCATCACTTTCCCAACTTCGAAGGACCAATATCCATTTTTTCAAAAAGATAGAAATGATGAATTTTAAGAGACAACCCTGTTGGAAATTGGTCGTTCTAAGTTGGTTTTGACCAATTATTTAAATGGGATCCGTTAATCATATAAGAAAGTTCTTTAAGACGAACGTGTTCTAATTCGCAAGTAGGTCTACTTTCTCAAAATTAATTTGGAGAGAATGAAAAATTAAAGTCTAAAGAGAGCCACTTGACACATGGATTTGAAACCCAAGGAACATCAATGGTGCATGTGTTATATATATATATATATATATATATATATTGGCCCCCCATTTTTTAGATTTCATTCATTCAAAATCTCCAGTAATATAATAGCCATATCTTTCCCTGCACTATATATTACGTCTTTTGCATTTCAGTTCTCAATTCTCAACCAGCAAATTTAAGTTACTAAAACATTGGTAATACGTTTATGCAAAAACAAAAGTAAATAAATGTTTCAAATTTTGATTCTACTCTCAAAAATCGGATATGAATCGTTCTGTTCCTAGTTTTTATAACCAAAACTAATTTATTTTCTAGCAAGATTGGAATCAAAGCCTACGGTCAGTTCCAATCATGTTTTGGACAGTATTGGTGATTTTTGCCCACCTCTAGAACATTTAAAAAAAAAAAGTGATAACAGTATATTTGTCCTTACTAATTTAAAAGGGTTAAGAAGAATAAAATATAATTTTGGGGGTTTAATTTTCAATTATGGAAAGTTAATTACTAAATGTTATATAAAATAAAAAATGAGGGATTTGATTGTAATTCCACCTTAATGGAGCACCAAGTACATTATATGGAATTCATTTTCATTTTATACGAACAAACTCTAAATCACGATACAAAGGGAAAGAAAAGGGCAAAAAATAGAAGAAAATGGAAAGAAAAAAGAAAGGAAGAGGGAAAACCTAAAGTTGTCGCCTTTCTCCATACACTCGGAAGCGGCGTTGGGTTTACTGAGAGCAAAAAGGGAGAAAGAAAAGGAAAAGAACAAAAAAATAAAAAAAAAATAAGAAAGAAAGAAGCAAAAATGACAAAGTGTCTAATTAAAACTTGAAGAATTTGACACAGATCTTATACACATGTCGAGTCCTGTTCGACGATGGTACTCCAACCATTCGGAAAGCCCAAACATCAAAGTATATTACAGCTGACATCTTTAATGATATGTCACGACATCTTTATAGATAATCACGTACCCTAAATAAAATTGCATCGCTAATCCCTTAACTCTCAATAAACTATAAACTAGACCTTACTTACATAAAATCATACAAATAACAAAACATTTCGCTTTTATAACAAAATGGACTCTTGACAGAAAATTATGCATATAAAAACAACCCAGTCTCTGTTTTCACTTTTTGCTCGCTCATCACATAGTTTTAGTTAGTAAATTTCCATCATTTATATGGAAAATTCCCATCGTATTTAGTCAATACAATAATTTCTACAGATGGGATGTCAACAAAAAGCGGCAACTTGAGATATATGTACATGATTGTGGATACCATTGCATCATTAACTTGATCTGCCGACGCAGATGGAACTGCTGCTGAAATCCTTGTCACCATTGTATAAAACCGTACAACAATCACTGCATCTGAACCGATTCTTGACCCTGTCAAAAACATATCATCAAAACGATGGACAAATTTGATGTAAACAGTCTCAATATCATCCAGAAACGATATATTTCTATTAATCAGACTGGTTGAAACACTATAAATTCAGTGTGCGCATCTTCATCTAATTTGCTAGAAAGCATCATAATTTTTTTATTCCACTGCCTCATTTGGTAGGTGCATTGAACATTAATCTATTGAAAGCACTGGTAAAGAAAATAAGTCAATGTCTAGTCTATAATATTTTTGAGTCATATCCAGTACTATATATCAAACATGCTCTTACTCCTTCAAGATTGCTACCCTGCAAAGAAATCCAATCGCCTGGGCACCCACACCCACCACACACATTATATTTGATAGATAGCTGAATTTCAAGATAAGTATTACTATTAAAAAAAATAATATGTATATGATGACAAATTCAATCATATTTAGAAGCTAAGAGAATAGACAAATGCTCAACACGTCAATGACATAGCAGCAATATGTAATACAACTTATGGATGGGAAAGAAGGCCTTGTACGCAAGAATAGACACCCCAATGTCTCTCGTTAAATTGATTCTTAGTTCACTCTCATGGCCGAACAGACAAATGCTCGACACGTCAATGACATAGCAACAATATTTAATACAACTTATGGATGGGAAAGGAGGCCTCGTAAGCAAGAATAGACACCCCAATGTCTCTCGTTAAATTGATTCTTAGTTCACTCTCATGGCCCCAAAAGAAAATTTTATTTCCATTAGACTATACCAAATTCCATCCACATTGCTTGGGCTAGGAAAATTGCACGAAAGCAGAAGTATCTGGTAACGTGTTTGAGCCCCATTTTTGGGGAAAATAGGTTTTGGAGTAGTGACATTCTAGAAAATATGAGCTTAAAAGATAGGGAAAGTTCTGGGTTTACATATAAAATTATTTTATGAGAGAATGTGTAATTGAAAATGAGTTTTTTTTTTTAAAAAAAAGAGAGTTTTAGAAAAAAATGAAGCTCAAACATAGGCTAAATGTGGGACTCTGAGTTGCCATGAGTTTTGATAAAAATGAGTTTTAGAAAAAAATGGAGCTCAAACATAGGCTTAGGCCCCGTTTGACCCACATTTTTTAAGAAAATTACATTATTAAACAGTAATTTAACATCATTTCAATCACACATTTTTCAATAAAATAATATTACTCACAAATTCAAAAATTTTCTTTATATTTTAACCACACATTTTCCATCAATATACTAATAAAAAATGCATTCTTATGGAAATAATGTGGCTCAAACAAGGGCTAAGTGAAAAACTTGTTTGGACCTAAAAATATAGACATTTAATAGTTTTTTTTGAATAATTATAGCCTAATTTATTGTATATTTCATTAATTAGGTGAAACTCGATGAATGTAAGTGAAAAAAGGGGGCAAGATCCAAGATTTGGGAATTAAAGTGTAAATATTCAAAAGTTGTGTTGAACCTCACGAAAAAGATTCGAGAATGCTAAGGGTCAATTCGATGTAATTAAAAGCCAAAAAGAGTTAAATATGACTAAAATATTTTCACAAATCAATTTCCAACCGCACAAAGATGTTCCAGATTTTCAGCCGGAGATTGAAGCCCATTTTTGGCCAGTAATCAATGGAATCGGAAAAACCTATTTCTAGTAAAATTGTAGCTCTTTGAGTTATTTTTACAATTCAATTTGAATCTCCTCAATCGGATATCGGGAGTGAATGTTATGATAAAATTACTAAAAGATGAACGAGCTGTAATTTTCCCAAAAGATGGCACCATGCGCCATCATGGCGCCGTGGCACCAACAATCTGCCTTCGCCTGATATGGATTAGGGCACGATTTTGGTCCTTTTAAAGCACATAAAAACCCTACAACAACCAAAAACATGGGGGTAGATATAAATACAAGTTTTTTTTACACTTTTGATGGGGATTCCACAGATAGAAAGATAGGGAATACAACTGGAAATTGAAGAGTGTAATTCAAGGGAGAAAATCAAGAAATCCAAGTTTTGAAGTATTGATTGGAAGAGGAAGAAGATCTTCGTGCAAGATTAATTTCTTTTTTTACATCTGTATTCAAAATTTGACGATGTATTCAGCAACAACTTCTTGTTTTACTTACGTTATTATGAGTAGCTAAATTTAATATTAGAGCAAACATTGTAATCTATTTGGGACTCTTTATTTCTTTCATTCAAAATTCTTGTTCTTTTATCTTACATGAGTTGATTTTGCGCTAAGTTTAATGCATTAAATTACTTAATTACTAATTTGATAATTTTGTGAATCTTTTATAAATTGAAAGATGAGTTTGAAATTTAAACCATATAGTAAATTTTGGTAAATTAGTATAACGTATAGAGATACATATATTAATTACTGCAATTATTTATGAATTCTTAGAACTAGTATTTTGTTTAACTAAAGTTGATTCGCATAGAGACGAGATTGAATTAGTTAAATATGCTCAATGAAAACTCGAGAGGGACAAATTGAATGCAATAAAAAAAATTCGATCGAACATTACAATATGTAAGAAATCTTGAATTAAGATTTAAGGTGATCAATAAGTGAAATTGTTCTGCCCTAATATCTATTCCATATTTGAATTCTAAAACTATCTACTATCTTTGTGTGCATCCAGTTAATTTCAAGTATTTAAACTAAAATCACAACCAAATACATTTTTTAGTTTGCTTTCATCAAATAGGAGTTAAAAATATTAGATTAAGTATTAAATTATAGTCCTCGTGGGAACAATAATCTAGACTCAATTGTCCATTATATTTCTTAATCAATATCGTACGCTTGCAATAGAAAAAATGCAACATTAAGTATGGGACTGTGATTTTAAGATCTAGATCTAATCAAAAGGGGTCTTGATTTTAGAATGCATACATCAACACACTTATATAATCAGTAAGGCTATGTATGAATACCCAACATGTTTGTAATACATTTCAAGAATGCATATTTAGCACCTAATAAATGAGAAGAGAAGAAGGCACATTTTTGTTAGTTTGTTGCTGCTAAACAATAGTCGATAGTATGGTTTGGGACTTGCACCATGAGCCCTATGGTCATGTCTGTTTACAAAGCATCAGTGATGCAAAAGGACAGACCAATATTGGAGCAAGAAAGTTACTATAGCATGTTGACGTGGTTACTATTCATCTTAGTTGATTATTAGGATCCACATTAAATATTATGTTTTCTAGTTACCTTAGGCATCAATATTTTGTTTCCTCTTTAGTAAGATTATTTCCTTACTAAGTTAGTGTTTTATATATATATATATATAGATTCCTGCAAATAGATGTTTTGACACAAAGTAAAAACACTTCTATCATTTTTCTGAAATTGGACTTGGTCACCTTCACGAAATTCTTAGAGATATTATTGCAAAAGTGACTTGAGTGGTTGTTTATCCTTTGTTTCCCAGTCTTAAGAGGTTTTTATTTAGTCTCTCCCATACACTCGTGCTTTGACAATGGTAGAAGCACATTCTCATCTTTTACACTTTTGTATATGTCAACCACACAAGATATAACACACCATTTACCTTCTCACGTGTGACCATGGAAGCACAGACATGCTACCGGCATCGACGTATCGGACACCAATACGTCTCTGACACGTCGCCGACGCGTGTCGGAATTCCTTGCGACGTGTTGGATGGCTGGAAGAAAACAATGAAGAAGAAGGAAAGAAGAAAATGGTGATTGTGCAATCCAATGACTGGTGGGGAAAAAAGAAGAAAAGAAGAGAGAAGATGAAGAGACGTGTGTTTTATAAACCATTGTACTTTTCAAAGCAAATTATTTGACTCGATACATTAATGCACTGTGCTTTTTTTTTTTTTTTTTTTTTTTTTTTTTTTTTTTTTTTTGTGTAGTATATATTTAATTACCTTTTCTCCAACTTTATATTTTAACAATTAATATGTAAATTTTATGTTAAGACATCACACACCATTTACCTTCTCAAGTGTAACCTGGGAAGCACGGACATGCTACCGGTGTCGACGTATCGGACACCAATACATCTCTATCATGTCGCCGATGCGTGTCGGAATTCCTTGCGACGTGTTGGATGGTAGGAAGAAAACAATGAAGAAGAAGGAAAGAAGAAAATGGTAATTGTGCAGTCCAAAGACTGGTGGGGAAAAAAGAAGAAAAGAAGAAAGAAGAGAGAAGATGAAGAGACACGAGCGTAATGCTAGGACCCATGGTGACGCTCCTAAACATGAGTCCGCTGTTATTCGGGACGTTGTTTTTACTATTTGTGCACGAGTGGATTTATGTAAGGGCTTGGCTCCATCTAATGAAAATAGATTGCTCCAACGCTCACGGGGTTTTTTTGTGGATATTTTCTCTTATCGTGGCTAGGCTAAAAATCTAAGATCTTGTTGTTGGTGCTAGGAAGGCATATATTCCTAGCCTTGTTTCCTGGGCTATGCCCCTGTGATCTTGTACTTTATTTTTACATTTTGGAAATAATACATTTACCTTATCCAAAAAAAAAGATGAAGAGACGTGTGTCTTATAAACCATTGTACTTTTCAAAGCAAATTATTTAACTCGATACATTAATGCTCTGTGCTTTTTTTTTTTTAGTATATTTTTAATTACTTTTTCTCCAACTTTATTTTTTAACAAATCAAAATGTAAATTTTATGTTAATTAATTCTTTTACCATTTCACCCTCCATGTATGAATTTAATGTCAAATTTCATTTATATTTATGATGCAATAAGTATAAAAAAAATTATTATTTTAGACTACTAAATTAAAACAAATTAAAAAATAATATTTTAATCAATGGGTCAACGACATACCGTGTCGGAACTTTTACAAAAAATCAAGCGTCAACAAGTCAGACACTAGTGTCAGTGCTTCTTAGCATGTGACACATATGGCATGGAAAACCAAATAATCTGATTTTCTCAAATTTCGGAATCATTTCAAATACCAATATGTAAGTCTTTTCTACTTCCTAGTGCACCATTCCAATATTCATAACTGCAAATTCAATTATCTATTTCATACCAATATAAGCCACACCTTCATTATCTATTAAGACCAAACTACTCTGATGTTCTTCTTTCAGGAACAGTCACATCATGCTGCCTTCTCCTTGTACTTTCCCTAATGTTCTCTCCCTCTCTCAATTCTAAATGATAACATTATTACACTTTTTATCCAAAACTAAGTAGTGAACTTAATTATAAGAAAACGCTGCATTAATTCTTCACCAGATTCAACAACCAAAGATCTGTTGAAGAAGACACGTAACATTGTATGTCTCTATTCTTAATATGCATCTCCACTCTGGGTTAGACATCATATTACGGTTCGCCAATTCAATGCTGTGCCTTAGGAAACTAGTTGGCATAGAAAGAGGTTTGGCCCAAATTCCATGACTAATGTATACTTTTGTGGCTTCTGTAAATGATGCTATGATGGTAGAATTTGATTGCTTAACACAAAAACTATCGTGCAATTGAGACACAGTGGAGAGGAACATATCTTAAACTTGAATGCATATCAGTGTTCTTTTCTTCTAAAGGGTTCACCATGGGGACAGTAAGATTGAATCTCCTTTCCTATAGGGAGTGATGGGCTCCAACTAATGATTATTAGAGTTTGCACTGAGTTTTAGTTTAGTGGCCAATAAAATGATATTTGAGCAAAATATTATTTGTATTAATCATTAAAATCATAGACAGATATCTGCAGAAAGCCACTAGCTAGACTCGTCAAAGAGTAACAAAATGACACTGGATTAGTTGGATGTATTCCTCATACTGAAATAAAATACACTGCAACATGACCAGTAGGAAAACAAGGCCGAGACAGGTTCATTAATGTCATCTGCTTCGCAGAGTCCTTCAAGATTTAATAGGCCAAAAGTCAGGTTCACTGAACTAATTATATAGTATACTGGATACAACATCATCCAATCTTATTAGTCATACCAGCGAGCTCTTGGTCGGACGAATGTCACTGGCAAGTAAAAGACCAAGTGTAACCGACAGTGGACTAGTCAATTGTATCACCTATGAATACAGTACTTATGCAAGGAAATCTTAGTGAAAAAGTTAGCAAAGATATTTACAACATGCTTCATAGAACATCTTAGGTAATTTTGTTACTGAAGCTGGTATAAATCATATGATACCGTAAAGAGAGATAGGCAAATATAGGCATTGGTTGGGAAGCAATACTAAATTAGCAGAAATAACAGACAGGTATGGTTTGAGCATAGTGAATACTATGTGCTCATCTAGGTATCGAAGTTTACCTCTGTTATGGTAAATTACATCTTGTATTCATGGACACGAATCCACTTTGTAGATGACCATTTGTTCCCTTTGATAACATGGCAGCCACCTGCAAGAAGCAATGTTGATTCCACATCTAAAATGTTAAATGAGCCATAGACATAGGAAAATAAATCAGCAACTAGATTATAAACATAATGCTAACGTGATGTCGCTATGTCTGAGAAGACAAGAATTTCAAGAGATATCTGAAAGGTCCATCTAAAATATCAGCACTACAGTACAAACAACCAGTTGTAACCACAACTGACCATGCAAGCTTAAAGGATCCAAAGTTGCATCAGGCTTCATGCTCCAGAAAAGTAATGCATCTCCCATCTTTGGTTTAACAGAAAGTCCTCCTTTACCACATTCAGATAGCTCATTCCACCAAGGCACAGAACTAAAGTTTCCTTTGGCAGCAGGGAATACTGTTTCACCCCCTTCTTCAACATCTGACCTGTAATACAGTGTGTCACAAATGACATCATAAGAACCTATTAAGATTACACTGAGTATTGAATAGAAAAAAATCACTTACAGGTACATAAGAACTGTAGCAATTCGTTGACCACCATTCTTAGTGTTAAACTCGTCCAGAAAATAGTCATAATGAGGCTCATACTTCTGGCCTACTTCATAATGGAGGACTTGAAGGCCTTCCCCATGCTCTGTTGAATGCAAAATAATTCGGCTTATAGCCAATATGTGAACAAAAATGCACATCATGTCAACATATACCAAGAAAAACCGGACAGGCAAAAATAATGAAAGTTAGCACCACCTAAAAGGATACATCCTAGGAAATCAAAACATTAAGATAAGCAAAGTCAATTGGTAAGAAAAGTCAGCTCCAATAAGGCAGAGGCATCTATGATTCTGAGGAATATGACTACTTCACCGTGGAGAAAATGGCCCAACAAATTGCAATAACAAGAGAAAATTGGAGAAATATAAAACACAAAAGGTTACTGGATTTGGAAAATAGATGTGCTGATGGCTAAGGGTGGCACTACATCCAACTAAATAACTGCACTCTTGAAAGAAATAAATGCAACTCCTCACATCAATACAATTTCCCATTCTACAATCCTAGCTCTTTCCCTTGAGGATTATGGTTTATCCCTTTCGAATAAATTCAACTATATAGGAGATAAAGCAAATTTCTTTACTTTCCCAATTCAGCCATACAGCGAACTACTATCATTGACAAACTGGAAGAACCCAGCCTAAAATAGAAATGCAAGACAAACTTTATACTCAAACCAAGCATAATTTGGTATACCAAGTCCTGGCCTCAACCTAGGTTCTAGATATTGGTACTTTTGATTTACAGTATGATTGTGATCGTAGAAAAATGATAGATGAAGTTGCACATAAGAATCATTACAAGTAGCCATTGAACTGCATACCTGCAGGAAGGAAGGTGAAATCTGCAATCCTTTTCTCAATATCCCTAACAATTTTATCACGTCCTCTAGGAAGAAATGTACCAGAACTTGTGCGGACTCTGCAAGAAAAATTGTACCAAAAAAAAAAAAAAATAGCACAGAAAAATTCAGGAACGGATAACACGAAAAATAAATAAATAAATAAATAACTTTCATCTTCTCGAATGCAACTTAAATTCCAGGACTTGAAAATTTTAAGAAATGACACACCTACTATCTTTAGTTTTCCCAGTGTCGCTATCAACAACTGTGGACTTTTGCATATGAGGCTTAGCAAGATTGATCATGTATTCACATTCCTCTTTGGACTGTTAAAAAAATGGGGAAAAATCAATCAAGTAGTCCATGCATTTAGTTGAGGCATTCATCAGCAGATCAATAAGACATTTATGAACAGTATGTCCATGATCCGGGAAAGAAAAGAACAAGAAAAAGGTCCCAGCAACTTTTCATGATTAACTCACAACTGCGTACAACAGACTTCATTATTAAGATACACTCATCTAGAAATCAAGATCATGGTAGCATCTATGTCAAGTCAATTTCTTGTGTCTTGGAACACTATTTCAGTTTCTGCTAGTAAGGAACAGTACATCATTGCCCAGCAGCAGGGGGAACAGCGTGCCAGTGCCCTCCAACCATTACATCCCTAAGTTTTTGAACTACCTCCAAAAACTGAACCACAATGCATTAACTCTGGCAAATGATCACCCGTGATGCAAATAAGAAAAGAGTAGCAATTCTGTCACAAAGTTTAATTTCAGTGCAATGCACTGTTCATCAACTGATGCCTAAAAACTTCTTTCCATTTGTTCACTCTCTCCCTCTGTGTGTGTTACACACATTTAAGATGGATAATCACTCTAATCCTTTCTTTCTTTTTTTTGGAACAAAATTTATGTCAAACCAACTACAACAGAAAGGTTTCATCAAGCCTATGTAGAATTCAATTTTGAAAAATGTACAGCTAGGAGAGGTTTCCTGAACTGTAAATTCAGGCAATATTCTCACGGCATTTGGCCGTAAACACCTGCATGATATATTGCTGTGTTCAAATCCACAAGAATGATTCTGTTGTTATCTATTCCATCGTAAAGCTAATGTCTAGCAGTCTAGTTATGCACCTAATGAATTTATGCTACTAGATGCTTTTAGGTGACTTTCCTTCTCCAGCCATTTTACAGTGTATGCCACATATCTAAGGACACTGGGACTCATGATTGGAAATAGAAATTTCTGTTCAAATTAGAGCTAGCCCCTCTTTGACAAAGTTTCCTTTTAGTTTATAAGCTTGTCAAACATCATTTTTAACCACACATTTCATTGGAACCACTTTTTTAACCACATATTTCATGCAACCCACCAGCTTATAATCTAAACAAGCTTCATCAAAGGAGGCTTATAGTTCCAAGAAGGCAAGAACGCTAACTTTGAGGTCCCAGTTCCAAGTGGCAGAAATGTACCGTATAGAAAATGGATCATCTAACGTATATAAAGATGAATACAATTCATTATTTGATAAAGCATGAAAAAATGATTTTTTCCCATATGTCTGTCTGCGTAAGAATAAGAATTAATTACCAAAAACTTGTGAAAAATGGAAGCTTTGGGTTCCCAAGAGATTAATTCAACCCACTGATCTTTCCTCTCCTCATTTTCATCACCTCTGCACCACATAAAACAAATTCAGATGATCAGATCACAATTATACAAAAAGTCGGTACAATTCAATGTCAGTAAGCAATTGAACCGCATAGTTCAGCTCAAGTGAAACTCTTACTTGGTGATGGTATTGCGGGCGATGGAGCTGAGATCATGTGCTTTCGAAGAGCCCTTCGAACTGCTTGGAATCGACAAAATTCCTAGAGCCAAAAGGATTATAACGAGGAAAGAGAATATCAAGATCATCGAGAAAATCATCATAGATGACGACCCTTTACGCGGCGGACCTCTCCCGTACTGCCTCCCCTTCACCGCCATTGAAATTGCGAACCTTACAATTTCAAATCTCGATCGGATAGGAAATGAGCACTGGATTTTGAAGATCTGAGAAATAAATAGTTGGATTCAGAGGATACAGTGAACGATCTGAAGTTACTTTGTTCTCTTCTTTTCTGCGATTTTATTTGATGTGGTTGGACTCTCTGAGAGGTTAAAATGTGCGTCTATTCAATAGAAATTTTAAAGATACTGGTCAAAAGTAGACTTAAAATATTTTATAAGTGTGTAATGATATTTGAAGATGCATGAATTAGAGAGATAATAATGAGAAATTATGTATGTGAAATCAACATTTTATTTAATGAGAACCTCTTTATACACTTTTTTTTTTGTTTCATTCGGAGCACAATCTTCAAGATTTCACTCACAAAACCCTGCGACGTACTTGTTTGAGCTTCTAAGCTCTAAATCTCACATTCGTTCACTCTTATTCCCTCGGTTGCTGGTGTTGCATAAGTGTTCTCATTAAATGTTGATGCTGCAGACCTCATTCATTTCAAATTTTTCTTCAAATTGACTAAATTACATTGGTGGTCGGATAATCAGAAACAAATAAAAAACATAATAGATGTGAGTTGATCAATTTTCTCCCTTACGATCGAGGGTAAACCTTGATAAAAAAAATTGAAGGTAATAATGAATGCACTTTCTTATAGGAAAGTAGTACCTGACAGGGTATACATCTATAGATCTCATGGTACTTCGAAGAACTATTCTGTATCTTCTCTGTAGATAATCAATTGCCTGAACAAATCAAGAAAATTCATAAGAATATATGCAGTACGGATTCTTGTGCAATACTTGGCTCTAAGTTATTGGTCACTTTTTTAGAAGAAAGTAAAGAAAACTAATCTCACCAGGATCTAAAACTTCTAAAGTGGAGCTTTGAGTGCTATCAAAATTTCATTCTGATGAAATAAACATACAAATGCTTCAGTGAGAAACCAATGAAAGCAGCAAGGAAGAACTGACGTGAAATACCTGAAAGCAAAGTAAACTCTTGACGTCGTCTTCAGTCACAAATATCCACCTGGTGAAGAAAGATATGTACGTGAATCTACTAATGTTTGTGTGTGAGTACTTTGGTTATGAAAATAAATAATTGATGTAGTTAATGTCTTTGGTTCATGCATGCATTTACACGTGAGTGCCTTGGTTATGAAACTGAATAATTGATACAGCTAATTGCTTCGGTTCATGCATGCATTTATCACTTTATATGTGTGGCTCCTAGAATAATTAAATAGTTCCGAAATATTATGAAGAATGAATATGAGTCATCACCATAAACTTCCCTTTATTTAATTTAATATGAAAAATCTGGTAAAAAAATATATTTTAATTTATTTTACAGCCCGCAAACAAGATATTGGCTCATCAATAAACAACTAAAATAATATTGGAAATAACATTCTATTCACGTTACACACGTGTGTCCAATTTCTTTTATAACAATAAAGGTGAAGAGGAATATTAATTAAAAAGCTTATTTACTTTCAAAATTAGTCATTATTGTGAGATCTGAAATAAATCTTCAAAGTATTGTTCATTTAATTTTTCCCCCCACAATTTTAACAACAACCAATTTGTGGAAATAATATAAATAGTTGGGAGATTAATTTATTTACGTCTAAAACTCATGACAAAAATCAAATTCATTCATGAACATGAAATCTAATTAATTTGAATCAACGAATTTAGAAAAAGAAGTGTGTACATGAACTGCCATATGGGTACAAGAACTTAGATTTTTATTTCTACTAATGATTGTGTGTTGTCATAGGACTTCTCGACTTCTGCAATCATGAACTTAGCAACTTTGATTTAATCCTTGACCTCCTTTTCAATGTTAATTATTATTATACATGCATATGATTTTATCCTTCACCGCCTTTTCAATGTTAATTATTATTCATGCACGTGAGTACCTTGGTTATGAAATTGAATAATTGATGCAACTAATTGCTTTGGTTCATGCATGCATTTACCACTTTATATGTGTGGCTCCTAGAATAATTAAATAGCTCCAAAATTTTATGAAGAATAAATATGAGCCGTCACCATAAATTTCCCTTTATTTAATTTAATATGAAAAATCTAGTAAAAAAATATATTTTAATTTATTTTTACAGCCCGCAAACAAGATATTGGCTCATCAATAAACAACTAAAATAATACTGGAAATAACATTTTATTCACGTTATACGTGTGTGTCCAGTTTCTTTTGTAATAATAATGGTGAAGAAGAATATTAATTAAAATGCTTATTTACTTTCAAAATTAGTCATTATTGTGAGATCTAAAATAAATCTCCAAAGTATTGTTCATTTATTTTTTTCCCCCACAATTTTAACAACAACCAATTTGTGGAAATAATATAAATAGTTGGGAGATTAATTTATTTACGTCTAAAACTCATGACAAAAATCAAATTCATTCATGAACATGAAATCTAATTAATTTGAATCAACGAATATAGAAAAAGAAGTGTGTACATGAACTACCATATGGGTACATGAACTTAGATTTTTATTTCTACTAATGTTTGTTTGTTGTCATAGGACTCCTCGGCTTCTGCAATCATGAACCTAGCAACTTTGATTTTATTCTTGATCTCCTTTTCAATGTTAATTATTATTATACATGCATATGATTTTATCCTTCACATTCTTTTCAATGTTAATTATTATTCATGCATGTAAGTAGGGGTAGAATCGTCCAAAAAATGATTCTCCCTACATGTGATATTTAGTATATTATAGATTGATTGACTTTTTTTAAGTGATGATTTTGTGGATCTTTTATAAATCTGTATGGAATTAGTGAAAGTTTTTGTAGACTTCTATGGACTTTTTAAAAAATTTAGACTTTTGTAAAATTCAAATGACTTTTGAAGATTTTTATTTGAAATAAAATTTATGTGGATCTAGTATAATTGTCTAAAATTCCCACTGCCCAATTGGGACAGAATTCAACTTAAGTCTTACTTAAGGAAAAGGTTATGAATTCGAATTTTGGGGAACGCGACAAAAAGTCTAAGGGGTAAGTGGGCGCAAGGTCCACCTGAAACGAACAGTACGTAAGCTAACGGATTGAGTATCAGGATTCAACTTAAATCTTACTGAAGGGAAATGTTACGAGTTCGAATTTTGGGGAACACGACAGAAATCCGTGAGTGGTTAGTGCCCCTTTTTTTTTAACAACTCGGGTCTCTGTACTCAAGCCGTTAACCTACGTATTGTTCGCTTTGGGTGGGCCTTGCGCCCACTTACCGCTCACGACTTTCTGTCGCGTCCTCCAGGATTCGAACTCGTAACATTTCCCTTAAGTAAGATTTAGGTTGAATTCTGATACCAATTGGAGGCCCGGGTCGCAAGCCCTACCCAAAGCGGACAGTACATAGGCTAACGGCTTGGGTATAGAGACCTGAGTTGTTACTTAGTTCCCACAATTTCTCATTCTTTTCCTTCTTCTTGCCATATAATAAAAACATTTGAAAAATTAAAAATTTAAGACTTTAATTAAATAAATAATAATAAAAATTATACATATATATGATTCAATATTATTAGTATGGTATACTTTTAAAAATAAATAAATATCATAATTTAATTATACATTTTTCATATAAAATTTTATAATTTAATAAAAAGTAGATAATTGTGAAAAGTCCCCCAAAATCTCGTTATTCATGAGAGACAAATTTTAAGATTTTATATCAGTACTTTCTACTTAAAAATTAGTACGTACTCCAGAGACTTTTATAAAAATCTTTAAAATTTGAATACCCCAAAATTTATAGAAACTTCTAAAAAATCTCAATTGAATACACTGTGATTTTTAGAGATTTCTTAAAAGTCTCAATTGAATACACCGTGACTTTTAGAGAGTTTTAAAAAAATCTCAATTTAATACCCCTAAACTTTTTAAAGTCCCAAAGGTTATTAAAAGTCTCAATTGAATACATCCCCCTAAGCTTCCGTTGACAATCGGGAGTTCGTCAGAAATGTGCATTTTCAAACAACGTGAAATTAACCTAGACAAAACAAGTTTTGACAAAAATAGTTGACAAAATAAGTGTTGGTAGAATCTTGATCTTTGTTTCAAATGATTTAAAAAATTATTTTTAAAATGATTGATACAGATATTGTTTTGTAAACCAATTTTGTCAACTAATATTGTCCAGGTAGGATGATTCGAAAATTAATGAGTCCATTGAGAAAATGTAAGGGCAGTTTGTTTTTGTAATTTTAATAATATGTGATTAAGATTAATTATAATGATTCAATTTATGCGATTAATCTGGTAATTTAAGAGGGCTGGTCTTACCTTATAATGGAGCGACCTTTCATTAATCCATTGAACATGGTTGGAATAGTCGGAACTTGAAATGGAAGAGCTTATTCATATCCTAGAATAAGTTCTCAATAAAACGGACAACACTTGAATTTTTCTTAATAATATACATAAGTACAAAATAAGTTCAAGTGTTATGCTCAGTTTTGTAGTTAGCAAAATTAGCAATTTTCAAATTTGTAATCGGCAATTTCTCTAATCAAAATTATGTTTTAGTTAAATTGTATTAGAAGTTAATCGAAGTCAAAATATGAGTTATTGAGTCTTAGTAATAGTAAAAATAGTTTGGTGTTGATAGAATCGAAAAAGAAGTCAAAGAAGTACAAGAAGATGATCAAATTTTGGACTTTAAGAAGTAGAACATAAAAGGGACTCAGCATCGCTCGCTTAAAGCCTTGCTGGCGCTCAAAACAGAACCATGATGTTAGCTTTCGTACTTCTAGAATTTGGAGAAAAGGTACTGAAATAGAGGTTAGTTCAAAGTGATTCACGTGGAAAGAAAAGAGGCTCGGAGTTGCTAGGAAGTGTGGGCATGCACAACCAAGGGAGTTTATTGGTGATTTACAAGTTATGTGCCCAGAGTCCGCTAAAGTTTATTAGTATCTAGATTAATTGTAAGTTAACTTTTATAGTGGATCATTTATTGACAAGTTTGTTTCAAGGTTTTTGATCTTGAATTCGAATTTTCCTCCGTGATTATAGTTGGAGTTACTTATTTACTATTTTGATCTGAATGTTTGTGATTATTTAAACATGGGTGTTAATAAGTGAATTAACTACCTTAATCATCTAAAAATAATTAATAAG